GAATCTATGTTTTGTATATGGGAATCATTTTAGTATTATGTTGAAGGGAAAAGCTGAAAAATAACATTTCATTGTGAAAATCTGGTCGTCAATTGTGCTGAACCCGAAGTAGATTGGAAATGTATAAACCTGTTTATGTTGATTTACTATTAATTTTCTTTTCGAAAGTTGTTCATAGTGTGAAGGAGTGACAGGTCGCCGACTTGGAGAGGGCCCTGCTCCATAACTTTTCATAGCCAATGAACCCTGTATATGGATAACAATATAGTTGAAGACTGATTCCATAGGGAGATGAAATTGTCCAAGTGTGCCTTAGGACGGCTATGGTGAAGTCTGGTCCTTCGTCATTCGATGGCCACCCCCACCGGTTAGAGGGCATTCTGATGATGGTAGGTAGGTAGGGTAGGTAGCGTTGCACTGTTTTGGACTTGATTTTTGAAGGGGAAAAGTATTGGCTGTTTAAATGGAATAAGTCACAACCAGGGTATTGCGTGCCCTCTGGAGGAGTAGGGGGTATATTATACTTACCAATGTTGGAATCTATTGAGTGAAAAAACTGTGATCCTGCGATATGATTCATCAAGTAGGGTATACTGGAGTTTCACTCGTGTTTCATTTAATGCAAAATGTGAAATTCTCTATGTGAGCTGAATGAATGAATATGATATCATCTCGACAGTATTCACTCCGTGTCCACTTGTGGGAGAACGGGAAGTTGACTGAGTGATAGACAACTTCATCATGAGGGACCGTCCTGACGAATCAAGGAGTCCATTGATACTTCTACTTGTCGGCAACTATAGTGACCAAATCTCCAGCGGGTCTATCTATTCTACTGCACGCGTGTTTGGGGAGTTATTAATTCCGTCGGCACTACCTTTGTATGTTGTCAATGAGGCGATAGCGCAGTGTCACCGAGAGCTGTTGAGTATTATTCTTTTTACGACTAGGTGTTTGGACTAAAACGTATCATTGGTGAATACATTTCCGTTTGTTGTTGTTGTTGTTGTTATAGGTGTAGCGTCGGAATCAGCGTCTTGGCCGGCACCATCGGAGTTGGAGTTTTTACACATTGGGAGTTACGATGAGCAGGAATGTGAAGAATGGTTCCGAGCATTGAAGCAAGCTATCATATCTGTTGATAGAACGTAAGGGGATAGGCTTCCTCTGTGACTCGCGGAGTGCTCAGTGAAATTTCGCATGTTGTGGTGAAATGTAAAGTGTGTGGGTGAGCGTTGTACTGCATATACACATACCCGTCGGATGCATGCATTTTGTGGAGATATCATTATCGTCGGTGTATTTGAAGTATTTGTTGAGTAATCATCATGACTGTAACTTAGTCGTGATAGGAACCCGACACGCTTTCCTATTTGTTACCGTCAAAAACTATATCTATCACACTTTTTGTAGTCGCAAGTCGAAAATTGCCGAACTAAGCGATGAACGACAATGGTGCCTATCGTTTTTGGAAGTGAGTGCTAGTCGATAGACTATTCCACTATATGTGTTACTGAATTTCTACTAATATCACTGGGAGTATCAAAAAACCTATGAGGAACTCTAAAGATAGAAGGCTAGTGAATATTGAGTTGACGCCAGCCTCGCTCAGATATCGTATTCAGTGTCAATATAGGCAGCGGCGTTTATCGAGTGGTGATGGTCAGAGGTATGATACCGTCGCAACTGACGAGAGTGAAATCGATATGGTATCTCCCTTTGTTGTGAAAGGTTCTCAGCTTGCCGTGTTGGTCAGATCCAGAAAGCCTTACCTGAGAGGCTGCGAAGTAAATACGCTGTTGCTTTGAATGACGCTGGAAGAGTGGATACATGGGAGCCTGTTTTTGCTGGTCGGGGATCTCATATTTCTGTAAGCTCCGTATCATACATCTTTCCGAGGTCTGCTCTGTTCGACGGCCCATGAGGTTCTCCGATTGGTGAAAATTGAATATATAATTATATAATTATTGAGGAGAGTTTCCCCATACATCTGGGTTGTTCGATTTTTTCGGTGGTGAAAGATCACTCCTTGATAACACGGTGATGTAATCTTGATAGTAAGAGGTAAATTCGAGAAGGAATTTTTCCTCGAGCCTTTGGGGTTTTCGTTGATTCAATCTCATCTCTATTAGTCCCACTGGATGTTCGGGAGTTTTCTGTGGAGGAATTTCGGAGTCTCGTCGCTTTTGCATGACAAGTGATTGCTGAAGAATTCAACCTAGAATTGAAATTACCATTGTGATGAAGTCTGGCAGATGTCGTGTTGGAATGAGGAGAATAATATGCGGTTCGCAATTTAGTTTGGAAATGCCGGTTCCTATTTTTTCAGGTTAAAAAGCAGTCACGCGGCACGAAGCTCCGTCTGGTTCAGCTCATTGACGGCTTCGATAGTGATAGAGTGTGGCGGGAACTAAAGGAGGGCTCGTTTGGCACGTGGATGTCTAGAATTGACGGTTGTTACTACCAACCGATCACCACGATAGCATATGATGATGGTAAGTTAGATTCCGAATCTAAGATTCGCTTCTATATCATCATAACGGATTAGCTCACATCACCCTGTGGTTGGTGCGGTATGTGGGATAGTGCACGCTCTTTGGGGAACATCTATCATTGTTGAAAAAGTAGGGACAAGCTGACTTTGAATTCGGAATCGTCAGATGAGGCATCAGGCTCAGCCTGAGAAGGTATGCCCGATATCTGTGTACGTGCGGACACAATACTGATGTAATTTTAATTTTTTTCGCGTCCTTTCGTTGGTGGCACAAATGTGAAATGGAAGATGTCACCATGCAAGGCGAGAACGGATTCGGTTTTGAACCTGTCTCTCCAAAAGCACCTTTTCTCGGTATCGCGACTTCACCATGAATCATGAACAGCAGTTGGCCACAGATGAGCCTGTCTCTAGCAAACAGTCGGTTCGCTAGCATTTTCCTGGTCTCTTTGCTAGAGAACGAGTCGTCGGTTGTATAAGTTTTCCTTTCCTGAGTTGTGAATCGTCTCCACGAGTCAGTTAGTCACAGCAGCTGTGTAGTTAGTGACAGCAGATGTGCAGTTAGTGACAGCAGCTGTGCAGTTAGTGACAGCAGATGTGCAGTTAGTGACAGCAGCTGTGCAGTTAGTGACAGCAGCTGTGCAGTTAGTGATAGCAGCTGTGCAGTTAGTCGCAGCAAGTCAATCAATGCTCCTTGGGTTTATACTAACCTATGGTCTACAGTCTGAGATTGGTGTTGGAATCTCTGATCGACTACGATTCTCTGAGGGTATTCTTATATCCGAAGTTGGCGGTCAACCACATATTCAGGACTGACATACCATCTCAAAAAATGTCTTCGACTACCGAGTACCGTCTCCGCTTGACGCCTGAACAT